TTAAATCCATACACATAGAAGTCATAGATGATTATTGTTGGGATAGAGAGAATTTTTCTTAAAAAAGTGCTAGGCTTCTGGCTGATAATAATTGCTCAATCAAGTCAGTTTCAAGATATAAAAAAAAAAAAAAAAAAAAAAAAACACAATGTTTATAAACAAAATTGTCTTTGTTTAAGCAATAATATCAATACATAAGTCTTAAGTATCAAAGATCATCCGAAATATAATAAAAATATTATAAAATCTTATATATCTTTAAGATGAATTTTTTTCAAACTTCAATAGTTCATATCTAATGATTGGAATATTTAACAAATTTAAATTTTATATGAAGTATTATTGTACTTTCAACAATTAGGACAACAAATTTTAACTATAAATTTATTATGGATCTTGAGATATCACTAAAACATTAGTAGTAGCTTCAAATCCTTACTAACATATACTTGTGTGTAATTTTCTTCATATCACATAAATAAATACTCAGATATCATAAAATATTGATATATAGCTTTTTTACCTAATAACATATACTTTTAGAAACAAACAAATAGAGTTTAGAGATTATTATCTATTTGATATATGCAATCTTTTGCAAATTCTTTATGCTTGTTGCTAATTTAGTTTTAGAAAAATTTGCAAATTTTGAATGAAAATAAATTAGCAACAATCATTAATTATTGAACTTGCAATATGTTATAAGATTTGTAAATAGTTTGTTTAAGATTTAGGATTTGATTAGGTTTTTCTTAAGATTGATTTATAGTTTTACTAGGATTTTATTAGGATTAGTCTAGAATTTCGGATTTGTTTAAGATTTAGGATTTTATTAAGTTTTTATTAATGCTTGATCTAAGATTTTGTTAAGATTCATTAGGATTTCAATTTGGATTTAATTAAGATTTGATCTACGATTTGATTAAGGTTCATTAGGATTGTAATTAAAATTTTAATTAGGATTTAATTAGGATTTAATTAAGATTAAATTAAGATTAAATTAAGATTTGGTTAAGATTCAATATGATTTTGATTAGGATTAAATTAAGATTTGATTAAAATTTATTTAAAATTTATTTATAATTTTATTTATAATTTTTTATTATTTCTTTTAAATTTTATATTTATAGCATTCTATTAGGATTATTATTATTTCTTTAAGGTTTTATTTTTATATATATTTTTTATATTAATTTATTATTTCTTTATGTTTCTTTTATAAATTCTTTTAAATTTACTAGGATTGATTAAAGTTTTATTAGAATTATTAAAGATTACTTAAAGTATATTTAAGACTCATTTAAACTTGATAGGATTATTGTTACATTTCTACTTACCTTCCACAATTAGGTGCTTGGTATATTCTTAAGCAAAAATACACTTAATATGACAGTATTGCGACATAGCTCTTAATTGAATAGTATATATGGAAGCAAGGGTAAAGCCTTTTTCACTCTTCTCAACATCTTTTTAGTCTTTAGTCTTATTTCAAGACTTTCTAGTCTTCTTGTCTTTAGCAATAGCTATTCTAGTTCAAAATATTACCATCCTTGAGTAATTTTCTTATCTTTTTAAGTGACGTAAGAGTGTATTGAGATTTTCTTTCTTTGAAATTCATATCCTTGACAAATGGTATTTCAAATATTTTGTTTGAAAGAACTTATAAAGGCCTCAACAAATATCAAATATTAGGGTAGTCTTTTCATCTTAATATAGAACATTATCAATAGTTAATAAGACTTATCTACTACCTTTGATATGAGATAAAAAAGAACTAAAAGTAAATATTCTAAAATATAAAATATTAAGAGAGTCTTAAATTAAGATTAGAATACAAGAAAAGTATTGTCAAGATTAATAATGGCATTTAGAACTAAGAAGAATGTTAAAAGAAAATATTTTAGCTTATTCAATATATTTAAAAATAATTAAATATTACTATGGTACCAAAATAATTAAATATTACTATGGTACCAAAATAATTAAGATAAGACCAACAAGTCATCAAAAATAAATAAGTCAAATAAAAAAGTATATTTTGTGATGTATTTCATACAAATAAATTTAAATAATATATTGGAGTAGAAAAAATAATGTCACATATTTATATCTTATCAATATCATTTGTCAAATTGTAAGAACAATATGTTATTTGCATGATATATAATTTTTACATTAAAATAATTTATTTTATATGAAATGCCAATCTACAACACTAATTTAATAGAAATATTTTTGCCAAATTTAATGAATTGTAGGCAAAGCTAATATCAAGAAAAATTCCTCACTAATAATAATATTGTATTAGATAGAATACAACTTAATTTCATTTAAAATATTAAAAGAAAAAGTAAGATAAATAAAAAGAAAGAATATATTAAATAAATTATCCAAAATTTACCTTGATTTAATAAAATAATAATAATAATATGAAAAGGATATTTTTTTATCATGGTCTTTTTTCACACTTATATTATCTTTAAATAATTATAGAAGGTATTTGTTGTGTTGTGTTGTATTTTTTTTTTCTTTAAAAAATTGCTTATCATCTTATCAAATTTTAATTTAATTTAATTTTTTAAGATAAATTAAGTATCCTTAATTTGTATTAGACCTATTGATTTGGTTTTTCCACTCTTAAAATCCTATTTATTTATATCCATTGCTAAATTAACTAATATAATTAATATTTTCTAAAACAATGTCTGGATAATAAGAATTGGAATTGAAGTGAGAATAAGTCCAATTCTCTTGTTGGAGGTAGATCATAGCGGAATTCAATTCCATAGACCAAATGTTTTAACTTATCAAAAATTTCAACTTATCAAATTATTATTTTTATAATTCTTATTATTAGGATAATTCTCATGATTTATTAATAAGTAATCTTACATGGATTTTTTTAGACAAAAAAAAACTTATTGTCTTATTCAAAGTATAGATGACATTTTAAACTCTACTAGATTCTTGACCCTTTCTATGGTAGTTTTTATATCAAAGAAGTTTTTATATCAAAGTTGAATCCAATGGAATTGACAATCTCTTCTTTATTTATTGTGATGTCTAGATAGTGGGTCTTCAAAAAAGTTAGTATGATAGCTAGAATTTTATAAAATATTTGTTGAGTAGCATTGATTTGTGCTATTACAATACAATTACAAGTTGAAAAGCTATATGAAGGCTAATATAAAGAGAAGGACTTAATCAAAAAAATTAGTAGAGATTTTTCTTGGAAAATGTAGGTTAATAGATTAGAGATAGTAAAAGAAATTGATGTTTTATGTTGTATATTTTTTTTAAAAAAAATTATAAAATTTTATAAGGCCATAAATAGAACAAGAAAAGTATTGATAAGATTAATGATGGCCTTGAAGACACATTCTTCCCAACCTTTCCTGCAGATGGACCGTAGATCTTAGGATCGACGAAAGATAAGCCACACAGAGAAAGCGAGACAGATGTGTGTTGGACAGACCACTATTAGTTTCCACAACACTTTTGTCACGGTGGGTCCTAAGGAGAACAGTTTGCTTTCCGTTTCACCAAACATCGTGGCTCTTGTCTGGCCGTTACCAGAATTGAAATCATCAACACCACGACTGTTTTTGGAAGCTTCAGGTGAAGACATCCAAGACTAGTGGCGGGAATTCGGGGATTTGGCAATTGTCCGAGAGTGTCATTGGTTGCCCGTGAGCGGCTTCCACCTGGTCCGCACCAAATTCAAGGCATAGTATTAGGGTTGACGAGGCTGGAACTGCTTGCATAGAATCCAAATTTGGCTTCGTTGCTACTACGCTTATGGCAGCCGATTACATACAAAACAGTGTTTTTAGAAAGTCTACATCCAGAACAATAAAATAATACTGGCAAAATTTTATCAAGATCTAGTGAAGTCTTCTGCCTCACATGGATTTGTACTTAAGTGCGAAGGAAGTACGGCATCAGTGCACACTTTCCATATGAATTTACTTTACTCGGTAATTCTTACAACGTCCACTGAAGAATCCCAAGAATGCTTTTGTGACTTGTAAAGCTCATGAAGCTTCAGTCAAACGCAAAACTTTTGGTATCTTTTGAATGGAGCAATCACCTATCAACAGACTCCTATTTTCAAGATTTACGTTTGATGAAGAGATGTGGGACAAGCTTGTTTGCAAAGATAAGGGACATCCTTACTCGACTCTTCACCTCTTGGCAAGGAAACCCACCCCCGAATCAGGATTGACCTTGATGCACTGTACGGAGTGGCTACACATATCACAGCTGGTCGCGAAGAACATGGTATCAACGTTGCTTTGTTTGTTGTGCAGGAATGTTGATCGAGGATTGGAAGAAGAGGAGGCGCCGGAACCTGCCCAAAGGATATTTCCAATACACTCTAGAACAATTGTCATCGCGACATGCATTTCTCACCGATATCCGAAAGCACCGTGTTCGGGACCCACTCACTTCTGTTGCTCGTGTCAACAGTGATGCCTAAAATAGGAAGTTGAATTGTTTTTCGCAGACCTACTACCGATTGCCGAAAGGCTCACAGGTTTCAATCTTCACTGTTGCACTCTCTGCACATGGTGTGGTTACGCGGCAATGGGCTAAGAGTACCAGGATGGCTTTCTTCAGAATCAGCACACGACACAGTAGGACTCCGTCGATTCTAACAAGCACTCACTAGATTTTCTGAACTGTCACATGGTAAAGCTTTTTTTTCTTCTGAAGACTAAAATATGAATTCCGCCTCGCAGCTGAAGCCACCAGAGTCCACGCCGAGGAGGATGATGACAGCTGGAACTGAACAGAAAGTCAATTTAGGAATCAGAAAACCTACGGTAGGCAATTTGTAAATTGTAGTAGCCAGGGAAGCAAGGTCCCACCGCACGCCGATCACCGAATTCAGATGATTAAATGTTGAGGAACGCCGCAACACCATTGACGAGGACATCGTCAATGCAACGACTTCCAGCTCCTCACAGCCACGTCGTCAGGGATCTCCAATAATCGTATTTAACTGAGGAGGTTCGAGAGCAAAGTCGCCGCTTATCCTTCTGGAGACTTTCCTGTGTCCGTCAAGGTACAAAAGTCTCCTGAATTCAGGAGCCATTTGCACATCTTTTACGATCCTCGCTAACAGAGTAGATCGGAAGACTACACATCCTTGCCTGGTATTATATAGATTCGTGATCCTCGCTGATGCTTCACAACTCGCTTCATTCTCTCTTGATCGGAAACTGCTTTCAGAGTTTGTTGCATTTGCAGCACGCTCTTGCCAATTCAAGAGTTAGTACATTGGTTCCAGATGATCTCGCTCAAAGGGTTCAAACATTTGACATATTGGTAATGTTTTGGTCATCTGCAGAGTTTGCACATGTTATAATTTTGACGAAGAATCCGAAGTTTTGTGGATTGTGATCATCTTCGGCGAGCGAAAAGTTTGGGTTTTTTCCAAGCCTAGCAGGTTTGGGACGCCAGTATTAATGAAGTCCAGGTATGGATTGTTCTTGGTGGCGATCGGGATTTCTATCATGTGCCTGGGACCATGGATACCTGTAGCGAGCGCCACTGTTTCTGAGCATGAACCTTTGGACTTGGCCAAGCGCATGGCCATAACGTCGATGAAAGAGTGGAGGGTTATGGGGCCTGCAAAGGACAGGTTCCAGTATGAGCTTGGCGTGTTTCTGCGAGGAATCGAACTTGTTTGGAAGGCGACTGGCGACAAGAGTTACTTCGATTATATCAAATTTAAAGTAGAACGCCACGTGATGGATAACGGCACCATCGCTGGCAACTACAACTTCACGGAATTCACCCTTGACAACATACTGACGGGCAGGTTGTTGCTCACCCTTTACAGACAAACAGGTGAGATGAAGTACCGGACCGCTGCAAAAACTCTGCGGGAGCAGCTGCGGCAGCAACCCCGCACAAGGGAGGGAGGCTTCTGGCATAAGCTTGTCTACCCCTACCAGATGTGGCTCGACGGGCTCTACATGGCGGAGCCCTTCTACGCTGAGTACGGGACGCTCTTTCATGAACCCAAGGAATTCAACGACATCGCCTCTCAGTTCATCATCATGGAGAAGCATTCTCGTGATTCCAAATCCGGGCTTCTCTACCACGGCTACGACGAGTCCCGCGCGCAGAACTGGTCGGATCCAAAGACCGGCCGCTCGCCGAGCTTCTGGGGGCGCGCCATGGGCTGGTACTTCATGGCCATCGTTGACACGCTGGAGTATTTTCCCAAGCACCACCCCAAGCGAGCTCACCTGCTTGCTATCACGCACCGCTTAGCCATAGTCTTGAAGGAAGTGCAAGACTCGAAATCTGGCTTGTGGTGGCAGGTTCTTGACAAACCGTACAAGAAGGGCAATTATCTTGAGTCTTCCGCGTCCGCCATGTTCGTGTACTCATACGCTAAAGGTGTGCGCAAGGGCTACCTCCCGAAAATGTACCTCAGTGTCGCCCAAAAAGGCTATGTTGGCATCGTCTCCAACTTCGTCGTAGAAACTGCGGACATGGGAGTGAATTACACGCGCATTGCGAGCGTGGGCGGCCTCGGGGGCACTCCGTACCGCAACGGTACATTCGAGTATTACATTAGTGAGCCCATCGCGACAAACGATCCTAAGGGTGTCGGTCCTTTCATGATGTGCAGTGTGGAGATGGCTCGTGTATGAGAAACCAATCCAACTAGTTTGCGAGCGTAGCGTAGTGATTTGATCCGCGGTTTCCCTACGCCGTGTTTGAATCAAAGTGCAATGCGTTTTTTGTCCGATCGCTAACAAGCTTTCAGCAAAGTTTAGACTTGCATTGCAGACAGCAGGACTGAATCTACTGTGTCTACACACCTCACGTCATTACAAACACGAGAGCTGCGACCCTCTCTACGTCCTCGGGGATTTGCTAAACAGAGACAGCACGGTTTACTTAGTTGATTTCGTAACAAAATTGTTTTCAATGAACAAACACGGGTTTCTTGTGCACCTTCGAATTGGTGCAATTGTTGTAAGTCGACGGCTAGTCTCCCAGCGCGGTGATGAGGATCAGGGAGTTCGAACTACGGTGCAGGTGTGAACAGAGCACTTTGCGGGTACTGTTGTCAGCGCAGTCAACGCCAGTTGTGGGAATTATCGAATTTTTAGTCATAAATTTCAAGCAAAATTATATCTCATGTGCTTTCATATCAAAAAAGTGATAGTGCATTACACACAGGCTCTTTATCTATATCAGTAGTACTAATAGAGCAAATGAACAATGTCTTTTGCCATATCTTGGTTTATTATAAAATTACACAATGAAAGTTATTAAGAAGGCAAAACGTGTGAGGAACCAGTGAACGCTGGATAAGTTCAGAGATGGACCACATTACTTGATGCTTCAAAAGTTGTCTGCTGGTTTACAGATGCTGCTCTGCTCTGCTGTCAATTTATTTTTCTGCAATTTCAGAAGCTGAGAGCTTCAAAAACTGCAGAATGGTCCCCCCCCCCGAGCTGTAGAAGGCGCAGCAGAGAGCCATGCTGCACACGACGGGAGCAATTTCAGGTTACAGCTTAGGTACAAGAAACATTAAGAAACTAGTAGAAAGTGTATGAAACATCAACCAATTAGTGAGTTCTTTAAGAATTGTAGTAGGAATTAAACTGAATTTTGGAATTTTTAGGGCTAGCATTGGATCAAAAAGGCACCTTTGCCGAGAGTGTTTGTGTAGGTGTTGGAATATGAGGGGTAAAAATCCATGAACATGGAGGAGTTATTTGTTAGATACAACGCATTTTTTTCCTAGATGACGTCAATATTCGCCCCTTTCGTCATACTATCAACTTGCCTTCATTCACTGAATGGTACAAGTAGCAGTGCCGTTTACTTATTCACTTTTAATAGCCACTTGCTTTTGGATAAGTAGAACATGCTGTAAACGAACTGTGATCAATATGGTAACACTTTTCTTATGCCTCGTTAACATGGTATCAGAGCAGAGCGTTTAGCTTCTTAGAAGTCCTGTCCGGTGAGCTCTGCTTCCGATAGTAGCACATGCTGAGAATAGTCTGTTTGCTCTGTGTTAACATGTAGGGAGCACAGATCAGAGATACCATCAATTGTTAGTCGGCGGCCTACTCTATCTCGCCCTCATCACTAGACCAAATATAAATTATGCTGTAAGATGCTTGAGTCGCTTCCTACAAAAACCGCAATACTCTCACCTAGTTGCCGCTAAGCGAGTACGATATCTCAAAGGAACTTCCAATATCGGTATCTTCTTTCCATTTTCTGGAGAAACAACACTAGTAACACATGCCAATGCCGGTTGTAACCGATGTCTTGATACAAGAAGGCTAATTTCAAGAATCCTCCACAAGCTCGGGCATGCTCCTATTAATTGGTCCAGTAAGCGTCAACTGACTGTGGCTCTCTCCACCACCAAAGCCAAATACCGCGTCCTCACCGAAGCCGCAAAAGACATTGTTTATTTACAGAGGCTATTACAGGAACTCCAAATCTGTGATACAAAACCAACCTATCCTCTCACTGACAACCAAAGCAACATTAAACTGGTAGACAACCCAATCTTTCATGCTCAAACAAAGCATATAGAAATAGAATATCACCTTATTTGCCAACGTAGCCAGAATGGGGACATCATAGTGGATTATATATCCACATCGAAGCAACAAGCCGATACATTAACAAAGCCTCTTGATGCATCACTCTATACACATATGAGAGAGATTCTGGGTGTTAAACCACTGAAACTGATTTCATAAATCTCCTACAGTACTTTCTTAATTAAAAAACAGCACTCAGTTATGCTCTAGACGCTAAGAAATCTACAGCTGCTTCATGGCTTTTTGAAACTCTTGAATACAGCTTCTCGGTACCCTTAACCTGTCTTTTGCAAATACTCCAAGACGTATACAATCCTAGAACTACTCCTTCCTTAACAACATAGAATTTCACAGTCGAGTTTAACATTCTTTTTTGTTAACTCATCAAGGTATGATAAAATTTGGTCCTGTTTACGACACTTCACGCGGCAACTTCATGCGGCGGTTTCACGGAAGCAAGAAGAGCCGAGATTCTGGCGCTGAGACAGGCAACTCCATTTGGGACTGCTCAGCAACCCAACAACTGCTACTTGATTCTGTACTTAGTGTTTTTGCGGGGGGTTCAGTGTTACCTGTTTGATTTTTGTCTGTTTAATTCTGTGTTTGCCGTTTAGAGCCTCATTGTGGCTCAATGTTTATATTTCGGGCAATGTGAAAATGTGTTTCACTTACTACGGATGACTATTCTCAATGTTGGAGTACATTGCTACGCTTGAATTGTAGCAGTGATTGCATATTAACAGGATGTTGTGTATTGTATTATTCCAAAAATTGTGTGATTTGCACATTATGTGAAGCTAAAGGTTCAACAAGTTGATGGGAGATGACTGGATGGGTTTTTTGTTTGGTGATTGCACCAGATGTAAGGTGGGATATCATTGAGTATGGAGTTTTACATTGTGTAGTTGTTATTTGTGTGTAATTATCATTGGAGTATAATTAGTTGTAATTAATGGCAATGTGATAATATGTTTGGATTAGTTTGTTGAGAATTTAAACGTTTAAATTGTAGAAAGAAATGTAACAAATATATTCTTGTAATATAGGGTGCAATTCTTGCAAGTAATGTTTTTTTGAACATTGTAATAAATTATATCCAACTTATAATATCTTATAATATTATAGAAGATGGTATGTTGGAATGTAAAGATTAAGTTCAAATCACATTTTGTTGTTTAGAAATTTTTACTAAGCAACAAGATTGTGATGTTTTGACACATGCAATAAATTAAAAATTATGTAAGCAAGTGAGGTAAAAAAGGTGGTGGAAATAAAATAAAATAAAATGTAAATATTATCATGTGTAATAGAGTTTATGTAAAGACATATTTGATATAAGTTATAAAAAATAACATGTAGGAGATGATAGAATTAGTCTTTAGAATGGTTTAATAATAGAAACATAAGTTGGATATAATTTTTAAATGATGTAATTTACAGAGCATATGATTATTGATAAAAACTAATTAAATAACTAATTATATAAGTGTGGATGATTGGGAGTATGTGCAGGATTATAATAAGGTAAATTGTTTTGATTATTTAAAATATTTTTGTTAGTAGTGTCACTAATTTATGTATTTATTTATTGGTTTTGATCCATTATGTTATTATATACAATTTTCTAGGATATTATAGCATATTTGATATTAAGTTGTATTATAAATGGAATGAAGATTTTTGTGTAGCATGTCAACAATAAACTAATACAATATATAAATAATTACAAATATAAATTTTAATATCATGAATATCAAGTAGAGATAATTTAAAATAAAATACTTATATTTTATATTTTTTTTGATAGAAATAATACATATATGATTTTATTTATGTGAATTTGATTTTATAAAGATTTTATTTAATTAATTAAATCATATTAGAATTTGATTATGTATTTATTTGGACAGAATTTGGATGTAATTTTTCTTTAATAATTAAATTTTTAATATCATATTCAATTTTAGAATACAATATTGGTAATTTTGATTTATAGATAAATAACTATTGGATGAGTCTCATCAAGTCTACAAAGAGATTGTGATAAGAATCATCCAACTTGCAACCATTACTTATGTATTAATGATCTTATCAAGGCCACCCTACAATAAGTAAGTTAACATGGCTTAACCTTAGCAAGTCTTTGTCAGTACTTGGAGTAATATATTGTAGGAGATTGCCAAAAAAATATGAACAAAAGATAATAGTTACAAACACTATATATCCAATAACCTTTGCAAATGATGTTAAATAGCTTAGTTATATACAAGTCATTTATTGACATGAATATATTGGATAACCTTCCAAAAAATCTTTAAGACAACTAAAAATTAGTACCAATACTTGCAAACAACTCCACAAGAGTAATATCTTCATTTAATAGATGATATTAAATATATTGATTAAAATCAATTAAGGATAAATTAATATAAAAAATCAAAGATCCAAATAATGTAAAAATCTCCTAATACTAATGGAAGAATTCAAAACAAGTACTTTGTAGAAAAGGTGGATTTTTGCAATGCCTTATATACATCTCTAATTGTGCCCTACCTTAAAGTTCTAAAATACTATATGTAAATATCTCTTTTAACATTATTGGACCATACAATAAATCTAATGTCAATACATTGCATTAAAATATGAACTTTTTTGACAAAGTTATAGCAGCAAATATAAACATTACCAAAATGAGTTCATTACTAACATCATTAACAAATCTTTCTACTCTAACTTATGCTTCTTCAGTCCAATAATCTCAATCAAAATCAAAAGAATAAAGTGCCTATTGACCTATCAAAATATCATAATTTGTGGAATTTATTAGTGTATGTTGAAGAATGACATATAAATACTATAATTAAAATCCAATTCAAAACATAAATTATAACTATTGCTTTGTTTAAGTGATTATTTTTTCTATGCTTTCTATTGAGGTGACAATAATAAATAAAAAATATTCTAGATTTGTAACTTCTAGATACAATCTTGTGCATATTTCTTGCCAATCATCACCAATTGGGCACCAAAGTCTATCATCACTACTTTAACATGTGTAATATTAATATTAGTATAGTTAACAAGTATTACGTTGTTGTATAATGTGAATTCTTGTTTGAAAATGCACTAGGTACCTAAATATGGAAGATAAATAGAAAATGTAATAACAAGATTTTACTGAATCTAATAGAATCTTAAATAAATTCTAAGTAATTTTTAACAACTTTAATCAAATTTTAACTAATTCAAAAGAAATTTAATAGAAATTACAAAATAAACATAACAAAGTTATATATATTTTTTAAATAATAAAAAATTTTCTAAAAAAATATAAAAATAATATCTTTGAATAAATAATAATAATCTCAAATAAATACTAAAAATAAAAATATTTAAAGAAATAAAAAAGAATCCTAAAAGATACTAAAATAAAAAACTTAAATAATTTTAAGTAAATCCTAAGTAAATCCTAACTAAATCTTGATGTAGTCCTAATAAAATTCTAATAAAACTTTAATAATCCTAAACAAATCCTAATAAAATCTTGATCAAATCTAAAATAAATCTTAGACCAAATCCTAATAAAATCCTAATAAAATCCTAATAAAATCTAAATCAAATCCTAAAAAATCTTTAAAAAAATCCTAAGTAAATATTAATCAATTAATATAACTATTTTAAAACTTTAATAAAGATTGAATAAAAATCTTGATTAAAATATTAATTAGAATTTAACCCATATGTAATTAATACATATACAAAATTTTTTAAAAATCAAATTCACAAATTGAATAGAAAGCTTTCAAAACCTCTTAAATGTTGGCCTCATCTTTCTCTAATTTAAATTTTGATCTTCTAATAATAATTTTTCTTTGCTAAATTATTTAATTTCTTTAAAATTTTAATTTTTTATAGATTTCTAAGTCTTAATGACTTTCACTAATTTTTGCTTCAACCGAAAAGGTAAATGTTGCATAATCACAATAATCCTCACTGATCCTAAATTTCAATAATTCAAGACCATAACAAACAAAAACTCTCACAACCTTTAATTTAACTACTAAATAGATATTAATTTTTTTATACACATTTAATACAAGCATAATAAAAAATTCACAAATTTTCACTTGTAAACATGCTACGACACTTACACAATCC